GCCTCTTAGGCGCTTAGCACAGTGCCTGGCACATAGTAGGTGCTTAATGTTGACTGACTGACTGAAACGGCTACTCTTGTTTGTACAAATAGTGCTGTTGGGAAAGGGGGGATAATTCAAGCGAGGCCGTCTCTGTCTTTGGCCTCGCAGAGCACCTGGTGAGGAGCCTGAGGACCTATATTTACTAGCTAGGTGACCTTCTTCTCCCTGGCCCCCAGTTTCCTCCTATGACAAGTGAGTGGGCTTTGACCTCGGGATCTTTCTCTGCGCATCAGAGGCTCGAGGGGACCAAGGCCCGTGCCTTCTCCGTTTGCTTACAGGCTGGAGAGCTGGATTTGCTCGAGGAGTCGCTCGTGAAACTTTGCCGGGAACATTCGTAGTCACTGAGGGAAGCCGCACTCTCCGATATCCTCGAGGAGTCCGAGTCACTCAGGGGGTCATCATTCACCGAGAGCTTCTCATCGTTAAAGGGCATTTTGTTTCGCCGTCTTAGGGGACACAGAGACACCTGCACAGACAAACAGCCCCCAAATCAGTTTTGGGGGGCACAGGGAGTGAATAATAGAACAGAGTCTAACAAAGCTTGATGGCTGGAGAGCCCAAGGTTGGAGGGGACCTCAGAAAGATCACTGAGGCCACCACCCTGGCCCCGAGACAGAGCTACAGAGTTTTGGACCTGGAGTCAGGAAGACCTGAGTTCAAATCTACCTGTGCGACCCTAGGCAAGAGGTTTAACCTCTCTGTGACTCAGTTTCCTGAGGGGGTTAGGCTCAATGGTCCCCTCTAAAGTCCCTTGCAGCTGTAACTCCACAAGCCTGTTGTTGTTGTTCAGTTATTTTCAGCTGTGTCCAACTCTTTGTGACCCCATCTGGGGTTTTCTTGGCAGATACTGGAGAGGTTTACCATTTCCTTCTCTAGCTCATTCTACAAATGAGGAAACTGAGGCAAACAGGGTTAAGTGACTTGCCCGGGGTCACACTGCTAGTAAGCATCTGAGTTTACCATTTCTTTCTCCAGCTCATTTTACAGATGAAGAAACTGAGGCAAACAGGGTGAAGTGACTTGCCCAGGGTCACACAGCCAGGAAGTATCTGAGACCACATGTGAGCCCAGGTCGTCCTGACTCCAGGCCTAGTGCTCTAGGCACTACACCACCTATATTAAAGCAAATGCGGCTCTTCTGTTTTGAAAGATTTCTAGGAAGGAGAGATTTCTCAACTGACCAGTGAACGTACTCAGGGACAGAGCTCTACTACAGAGTTGAGCAACCCACATGAACATCCATGGGCCCTCTGCTACAAGAACAGCCACAACAATAACAACTCCTATTTATATGGCACTTTTAAGTTTGCAAAGGGATCATACCTTATCTCATCTGATCCCTGCAATATCCCTGGGAGGTGGGGGCTATTCTTTTTTTTTTTTCCGCTTTTTGGTGAGGCAATAGGCGTTAAGTGACTTGCCCAGGGTCACACAGCTAGTAAGTGTCAAGGGTCTGAGGTCGGATTTGAACTCAGGTCCTCCTGATTCAAAGGTGGACCTCCATCTACTGTGCCACCTAGCTGCCTCTAGTGGGGGCTATTCTTAACCCCATTTTGCAGATGAGGAAACTGAGGTTCGGTGACTTCTCCAGGATCACAGAGGCAGTGAGTATCTGGGGCAAGACTGGAACTCAGGCCTTCCTGACATCAGGCTGCCTTTACCCAATAAGCAATAGCCAGCCCTTCGTGAAGAAAACAAACACCAGGGCCTTCACTGGCAGTTCTGTTGCTCTGGACAAGCCCCAGAAACGGAACCCTCAAATCAAGTTTTTGAGATGTTCATTTGAGGGTCATGACACCTCAGGCCTCAGGACACAAGGAGGGAGTGTAGCGTGATAGAAAGAACATTGAAATTAGACTCACAGGACCTGAGTTCAAATCCAGCCCCGGTGACAGATCAACGGGGTGACTCCGTTTCCTCATCTGTAAATGAGGGCATTGGACTAGATGGCCTTTAAGGCTCTGGTATTGTGAGGAAGCCCCATGGTGTGGAGTAGACACAAACCCCCTTACACTGGGACCAGGAGGAGGGCAAATCTTCCCCTGGGGAGACCACTGCTGGGCGGGGCCAGTCAATGAATCAACCCAGTTGGGTGGGCCATATGAGAGAGGGAAAAAGTGAGCCATCTGGCAGCTACTGATGTAGCTCATTATTCTTACTAACCAAATGCTAAAAAGCTCAGTTGTTTCTATTGGATAAAGACAAGCAGTTAGAGCCCTCGAAATTCCCCTGCCCTGGGGCTAAGTCTCAGTTTTATTGTGTAGTAAACGAAATATTATCATTTTAATTAACATTCATCCCCAGGCGGGACACAGTCAGGATGGGGTATTTCAATCTCTAGTTGGCTGTTTATAATTCCAGGCTTTGTCTGCCATCTTGGTGGAAACTCAGCAAAGAATAGTGGAAAGAAGGCTGGATGAGGAGAGCCCAAAGACCTCAACTTGAGTCCCAAGTCTACCCCTCCCTTGGGGGTAGACTTGGGGCACTGCACTAGAGCCTCAGTTTCCTCATCTGTAAAAACAGGAGAGAGAGGGCTGTGTGCTGTGGCAGAGCTCTGAACTTGAAATCCAAAGACCTAGGTTTAAATCTTGGCTCTGTTACTACCAAAGTAACCTCAAACAAATTCCCATTTCTGAGTCTCAGTACTAGATGATCCTCTAGGTCCCTCTCCCATCCAGTTCTAAATCTTGTTAGCCTTTGACCTTCTGATATGATCTGTCAAATAGGAATGCTCCAGAGAGTTCCAGAGTTAGAAAGGACCTCCGAGAAGCGCCTTGTCCAATCTCTGTCTGAATAAGCATCCTCTTGACAAGACCCCTGAGAAGTGGTCCTCCCACCTCTGCCTGAAATTCCCCAAGAGAGGGAAGCAATACTTCTCTGGGTGGCCCATCCCACAATCTCTGAACGGCTTTCATCATTAGGAAATTTCCCCCCATGATATGCAGCCTCAATTTACCTCTTTGTACCTTCTACCCTCTGTACCTACTCATGCCCACTGAGGCCAAGCAGAATGAGCCTAATCCTTCTTCGAGAAGACAGCTCTTCAGATACTTGGAGTGGGCCAGTAAGATCCCTAAGACTTCCCATCTACAGGCTAAGTGCCTCAGTCCCTCCAAGGAGCCTTATTCAGCATGAACCATCATGGTCAGAACAGAACCCAGTGCTCCAATGTACTTTGACCAGGACAGAGTGCAGCAGCACAATGACTTCCCTATCCCCTTACCTCTGTGGCTCCCTTAATGCGGCCCAGGATTGAATTTGCTGTCTTGGCTACCTTGTCATACTGTCCACTCGGGCTTTGATCCAAGAATGCCCACTGATCTTTGTCAGACAAAACCGCCATCCACTTACACCTCGCCCCATTTTGTACCTGGCTTGTTGAGCTTTTAAACCCAAGTCCAACATTTAACATTCATCGTTAATGAACGTCATTATTTTGTTCTATTCAATGTCCCAAGCCTGTCGAGATGTTTGGAATCCTGACCACGCAATTTTAGCTATGTTGCTGCTGTTCAGTTGTTTCAGTCACGTCCAACTCTTTGTGATCCCATTTGGGGTTTTCTTGGCAAAGATACTGGTTTGCCATTTCATGATGGGTGACTCCTTCAAGACTCAGCTGGAATTTCATGAAGCCCCTACTGTTAATGTTCTAGCTACCTGGCATTTTTTCTGTATCTTCTTATATTACATAATATTATATTATACATTATATTATGTTATATTACATTGGCTTAGAATGTAAGCTCCTTGAGGGCAGGCACTATCTCCCTTTTTTTGTTTTCTTTGTATCCCCAGTGCTAGACATATAGCAGGCAATGAGTAAGTACTTGTTTATTGACTCATGGTGGATGTTTAAAGAATGCTTGCTGAATTGGGTTACTATTATTATCTGGCCCCTGAGTCACGGAGATCTAGGTTTACGTGCTGCCTATGACATAGTCTGGCTGTGCAATCTGATGCAAGGCACTTTTCTCTGGGTGCCGCAGCTCTCTGAGACCAGAAGCTACAGAGAAGGTGGCAATCTGCACAGGTAGAGGGGGTTGCCTTATCTGGGAGGTCTCCTATTCCAGTGGAAGCACAGGACCAACTCCTATCCTGACTACTAATGATAAGCAAAACTTAAGAAAAGCCTCTAGGAGGGGCTCTGAAAGCACACAGGGGTACTTTCTCTGTAGATATGAAGGAGACCTGGGAATGATGCACAGTGAAGCCCTGGATGGGACACAGGCGAGGAACTATCCAAGGAAGGGGGCAGACTTATGGGGAGAGGGGGTGCTTGGAAAAGTAGCTTTCACTGGTTCAGGGAAGGAGGAAGTGGGTGGGCACGGACAGCAGTTCAAGAAAGGAAAAAGAGCATCTTAAAAGCCCAAAAGAGAACAGAATAAGGTCATAAGGGGACACAGGCCAGCAGGCCAGCATTGGAACTCCCTGCTGTGTTAGATTTCATGTATTTTTCTCCCTTTCATCTTCTAAAAAATTATTTATTCTTACAAGCATTTATTATCTCTCCCTCCTACTGCCTGCCAATGAACAATGAGAAAAATAAAGAGAAACCCTCATAACAAATATGTATAGTTTAGCAGAAGAGATTCCCACAAATGAGATATTTGTAAGCATTTAGCACAGTGATTAGAACACAGTTAAGTGCTTAATAAATGCTCATGTACACATATATACACACAGGCCAATTAATATATACTTTTTTATAAAAAGCTAGATGTAATAGAAATCAACTTTTTCTCTTCTTTGTATATTGAAATGCTGTTGTCTTTTGACATTTGCTAAGATTGTCTTTAAAAAAAGAAAGTTTATAGGGGGTGGGGGGGAAAGGAGCTGAGACAGGAAGAAGGGGAGGGGAGGAGCCAAGGTCATACGTGGGGGAGAAATCCCTCTGAACTGAGCAAGATGAGTGGTCTGCAATGGAGGTTTAAGAGCTAGAGCCAGCCCCACATCCCAAGCTGGAGGGACCGAGAAAAGGCAGGACTGCCAATGGGGACGACCATTGAGTTGCTGCGCCAAGCATCTATGATATTAAAGGTGGGGGCGGGGAGTTGTGGTATATGGGAACCAAAAGAGACATAACCTCAGGGGGCAATATAGCAGTCAGTCAACAACCATTCACCCAGTGTTTACTATATGCCTACCACTGGCTAAGACCAGGGAATATAAGGAAAGGGAAAGCATGGTGGCACCAGGAAAATTCATTTGGCCCTTTTCAGACTCTCTGAGTTGGAAGGAATCCCAGAAGCCAGCTGGTCCAATCCATATTGAATCAAGAAGCCCCTCCCATGATGTCATCCCACCTCCACCTCCAGAGAGGGACCTTCTCTCTCCCAAGGCAGCCTGTCCTATTTTCAGACAACTCCAGCTGTTCATTCATTGTTTAGTCACGTCCAATTTTTCATGACCCCATTTGGGGTTTTCTTGGCAGAGATACTGGAGTAGTTTGCCATTTCCTTTTCCAGT